TAAATATGATATGACATTTTGACCCCCTGGAGCCAAAGCCATCAAGAGAAAGTGGGTAATGCCTCTGATGTCCTTGCAGGAAGTTATTTTTGCCTGTGATCTTTATGTAAAAATGTCATCAAGTGGACAGCTCAATATTTATCAGAAAAATCAGAGAACTTGTCTATTGTGGCTTACTTTAGCAAGAATGTAGAAAAAAAAAGAAACTCAGAATAATGTAAGGGTTCTGTAATAGTAATAATAATATCATAATATATAGTTGGCAATATGAGTTTAACACAATTCCTAGCATAGAGTAGGCATTCAATATATATTCGTTGAATAAATGAATATATTTTTTAACAGACCCAAGCCCTGTTTCAAGCCATAAAATATAGACATAGGAGTAATAGAGATAATTTCTATTGTACCTTTCAGAGAGATGTGACAATTTTTAAATCTCAATTAAGCTGCTATTTGGTCACATGATTATCTGTCATGATTGTCAAGAACCTACAGCTACCCAGTTACATGTACAATTATTAGTCACTCCTAATCCGACCCAAAATGCATAGGTTAGTTTGTAGTTGGTTGTTAACAATACACTACTCAGGTCTTAGAGAACTTGGGAATCTTGTAGTGCTCAGATGAGAATGGTTTCTTGTTACAGCTAGCTTGTATGTATTAATATTGAAGAAAAGATGTGAATTTGCTAATAATTAAAATAAAAGATAAGTACTCAGACATTTTATTCATATAGAAACTAAAGATGTTAGAACAGTAGTAAGTAACCAGAGAGACCCAGTGTACTGAATAGATGCTTCAGGAGTTTGATGATTGTTGATGGTACTATTCAGGAATACATCCAAATCTGGAACTGAATATAGGATACCGGATTTCAGGACATAACATCTTGGGATTTTGTGGGGATTCACGAAAGCCAATGAAGCTAATGACTGAAGGTCCTTGGAAACCCAGGGGTAGGCCCCATGAAGAAGCTCAGTGCCTTTATTCAACACATGAGGAATACACAGCTTTGAAAGGATTCTTTACTGTTCTTTCTCCAAGGGGCTCCTTCACCCATTTTTTTTTCCTGCTTCTCTTTTGAAGGGTGCCTGGTGACATGTTAAGCATTCCATACTGTCTTCCTTCTTCCCATAGTTATTGATTAATACATGGACTACCTCACTGGCTCATATTCCATAGGCCCATTTATATATTATAATATTAATCATGCAGCTTATATTAACAGGCTGCTAGTCCAAGAATTTTTCACTAGGCCAAATCTATTTGATGTCTTCCCAAAATAGCTGGAAAGTTGTTAGAAAAAATTTTCCTCCATTCCTCTGATTAATGGTCTAGAACAGAGGTTTGCAAACTTTTTCTGTAAAGGGCCAGAAGTAAATATTTTAGATTTTGTGGGCTGTACGGTTTTTGTCATAACTACTTTGTTGTAGTGTGAAAGAAGTCATGAACAATATATAAACTAATAGGTGTGACTGTGTTCCAATAAAACTTTATCTATAAAAAAAAGTTGTGGAGCTGCACACAGTGGCACGTGACTATAGGCTCAGCTACTCCAGAGGCTGAGGCAGCAGGATTGCTTGAACCCAGGAGATGGAGGCCAGCTTGGGCAACACACTGACATTTGCTCTGTCACTGTGGCTAGAGTGCAGTGGCATCATCACAGCAACCTCAGACTCCTAGGCTCAAGCAATCTTCCTGACTCAGCCTCATGAGTAGCTGGGACTATAGGCATGTGTCCCCATGCCTAGCTAATTTTTCTATTTTTTTATAGAGACAGAGTTTCACTATTGCCTAGGCTGATCTCAAACTCCTGACCTCAAGCTATCCTCCCACTTCGACCTCCCAAAGTGCTAGGATTACAGGTGTGAGCCCAGCTGACACTGTCTCTTAAAAAAAAAAAAAAAAAAAAGAGGCTGTGGGTCAGGAGGTTTGGCCTATTTAGGCTGTAGTTTGTTAATCCTTAGCACCTTAGCATTGAGATATACCATTTCCCTGAATGGCCAAAATTAGTAACAAATTTTGCATATCAGTAATTATGAAAGTTGACATTATTTATTTTACTACCTGGATATATTTACTACTGGGTTGCTGAGGGAAAGTCTGATGAATTATATGGTTGATTTTTCAGTCTGAATGTTCTACAAATGAAAGCAGAAATGACTCAACCAAAAATCATGTGACGTAGGAATAGCATGCTATTTCTAATAAAAGACTTTTGAAAATAAAAACTGTTAAGTTAGAGTTATATTTGCACAACAGTTGGGTATTTGTAGGTTCTAAATGTCAGAACTACAGCCAGAACTGACAGGGAAGTTTTCCCTGCTTTCCTTTATCCTTTCAGGTTTTCTTTGCTCATAAGCATTCTTTGTGCCTCTAGGTGCCTTTGCACAACACGCCCCAGACGTTTTATTGCCCATTAATTCCAACAAACTTGTCTATCCTGGTTTATTGTTTGAGGACCAGCTCTCAAAAGTTAACTCATCTGAGAAACTAATTATAGCAAAAGTATAGACTGTAACAATAATTTTAGGCATTTTTCTTTCAGATGAAAGATGGCTCAGGCTGGTCTCCAAACAGAACACTCACATCATTTTCCCTATTGTCTTGTTCATTGACACCAGGAGATCAGGAATTTCTTTGCAAATTCCTATCAAGGCTATTCCGCATTGCCTTATGACATCCAATACTTTTATAGTTCATATAATAGTTGTCTAAAAGCTTTCCAACCCTGCCTCCATTGAGCCTTTGGTAATTTGGAATCCCCACAATTTTCCTGATGGAGCCACTACAAGGCCCTTCTGCAGGCCTCTCATGGAGGCTGGAGGCATCCACGTGGCAGTGTAGAGGAGTGATTACAGGTGCTCTGGAGCCAAACTGCCCAGGACCAAGTCCCTGCCGCAAATTGTGGGGGTTTGGGCAAATCACTAAATTGCTCCATACCTCAATTTTCTGTAAAAATGGTACCCATGATGATGATGATGACAACATTTATGTAATAGGTTACTGTGAAGATTGAATAGAACAATAAGGGTAGAGCCAGGGCTTGGAACATAATTAGTACTCAATACATGTCAGTTAGCACTATTGTCAGATAAAAATTAGATGAAAGCAACAGCATATCTTATATTGAACTGCATTTGCGTTACTCTGGCCATAGGCAGATTGTCTTTTAATTATAAGTGTTCCTTGAAGACACTGAAGCCAAGCTCACTGCTTGGCTCCTGGAAGGAGCATAGTGTAGGACTCTGACCCACCTGGATTAGCACATTTCTTCTCCCTGCTAGCTGTCTGACCATGGTCAGGTAACATAACCTTACTGAGTTACCATTTATAATTTTTACCTATTTAACATAGTTAGTATGAATAGTATATCATAGGACAATGTTAGTGAAATTGCCAGTTCTTATTAAATATTATTTCAATAATGGCCTTAGATGGTCTCAAATTATATCTGTCCATAGCTGTGGAGTCTTACAATGCACTAGGCCTGGTATCAATATCTTACATGTTGGGAGAATTAGGGAAATATGTTTGGAAAGAAGAACATCACCTTTCTAAGCAAGCTGTCTGTTCTGTGTACTGCAAGTCTCTTCCTGGGTAGTATGATATCACTGGGAAGCCTGGCAGTTTGGTACAAAGAGCCCAGGGTGTAGAATAAACTGACCTGGATTCTTGTCTTGACTCTGTTAGTGATTCACTGTCTGACCCCTTGGCAAGTCATCTTGCCCTCTGTTTTGTCATCTGTTTTGTCATCTGCAAAGTGTGGATTGGCCTAAGTATTTTCTAAGGATTCTTACTGTTCTAGAATAGAACCTCCTTTGTGTGTACAGGCCAGTGATATGTCATTATTTATGTCCCTACACTGATCTGGCAAGTGACATCCAACTATCCAAGGTTATCAAGGGAATGTTAATTAGTAGGAATATTTTCTTTGCTTTTAACATCACAGGGTGAATTGCAATAGGGTTTTGCCACTGTCATTTTATTTTTGTTCCCTCCTTTGGTTTTGAATGATATATGGCCCAGTAAAACTTCAAGAGTGTGTGAATGAAGAAACATTCTGTGTGACTCAAAAGACTAATATTCTTTGCTGTCATTGACCAAAGGGCTGGTTTGGAGAACAGTAAATGCCAGAGGTTCACATAAGTGGGAAGCACTACCCAACTAAACAAGTATAGGGTTCTCCCCAACCTCCCATTTTATTCACAGATGGTCATTGTTCATATATGTCATGTGTAAATGTACAAAATCCTTCCCTACTTATAACATGAGTATACTGAAAACTGAACACTTCAATGAAAACAGTCAAACCAGCTTTTATACACAGACACAATCTGAAGTGATGCCCATTCAATCATTCAACCAATTAACTTGATCAATAACAAGTTAGCGCCTTTAATGAGAGGTCCTCCATGGATCAAATGATTTGAACCACCAGGTGTGATTAGATATGGCATTGTGAGTGAGTCATGGACACAAACAAGAAAATATTTAAGAGAAAATATCTCAACATCCTTTTAAAATTTCCACTTTACACAAATTTGATTTAGGATGAAAATTAATATAATTCTCTCATAGCTACATAGAAAAGGAGCATTTAAAAATAAAAAAATAGAATTAAAAAAATAGAATCCCCAAGTTTACTTTATGGACAGTGTTTAAACTTTGAAATATCTATATATGATATAATAGGCCATTTCTATTGGAGGTTATGTTAACTGTCAGCAGGGAACTGGAGATTTGTCGTGAAGTGTAGCATAAGTGACTTATTCTTAATAACAGTTCAAGTACATTTACTTTAAAAAGGGGAATTGTATATATGTGAATTATATCTCAGTAAAACTATTATAAAAATAATAGCTCAAATACTGTTTGATTTACTTTTTGATTTGCTGTTTGATTACTTTTTTAAAGTAATGATTTACTTAAAAAAAATTTTAAGTAGGACCTGGTACAACATGGCAGATATAACATGGACACATTTGTCTCCTTAGATTCCTGAGACCTCACTTAAGTGGCAATAAAGAAGAACTAAAGAGAATTAACTCAAAATAGTGATGAAACTGGAAGAGGGACTCATCAAGAGAAAAGAGATCTCAACATATTTCTGGAAGGTGAAAAATGGATGGAAGAAGATACCCACTTTCAGTAATAAAGGACTAGGTGATTCAAACTGCCCTCTCCTTGAAAATTAGGGCAAAATTTAAAACATACCTGATTGAAGGCGTTAGGGAGCTGGCAAGAGAGTAAAGAAATACTGAACCAAAGTCTAGGAGAAGACAGAAATTCTGCATTTGGAGCAACTTTTCTTTTGTGTGGCATTTGTCAATTCCAGAAGAGATAACTATGAAGCTGTGAGGCTCAATGGTGTGGGGCCATGGGGACACAAGTTGGATTCTTAAACACCTACCTCTCAACACACACACACACACACACACACACACACACACACACACACACACACACTTGGACTTAGGAGCACAAAGAGCTACACTCTAGGAGATGTTGAACCAGGTGTAGACTGCTCTTAGGACTACAGGTGCATGCCATGCCAGCAATCTAGAGATTGCAGGCTACTTTCAAACCATTACAGGCTCTGAGGTTGTATTAAAGTGATTCTGATTTACTCACGCTCCCCAGAAATTATTACTATTTTATGGGGGAAGGGAATATTATCCTGGGCCTCAAATTATCTTTATAAATAATTTTGCAAATATAATTTCTAGCATGCAATAAGTAACCAAGGGAGTAAGAAAATATGAATGAGAACCATATTATAGTAAAACCTCGAAAAACCAAAGAAAGAGAAAACCTTAGAAGCAGTCAGGGTAAAAGAAAGATTGTCTTCAAAGGAACAACAATTTGACTTACAGCTGACCTTTCAACAGAAACAATGAGAACCAAAAGATAATGACATGCTAACTTTAAAATGCTATAAGAAAATACCTACCAGTATAAAATTCTATACCCATCAAAAGTATTTTTCAAGAATAAAGGTGAAATAAAGATATTTTCAGTTAAATTAAAACTTAACAATTAAAAATTAACAAATCAAATCCAGCAATAAGTAAAAGGATAACACAACATGAGAAAGTTGGATTAATTGCAAGAATGCAAGGTTGTTTTAACATTAGAAAACTAGTATAACTCACTACATTAACAAAATAAAGGAAAAAATCACTAGATTACTAGAATATATATAGAACAAGTATTTGATAAAATTCAACCACCTATAAGGGGAAAAAATCCTTTTAGGAATAGATAGGAACAACAAATATCTTAATGGTAAAATACGGAAAGTTTTCCCTTTGAGATTGGGGAAAAAAACAAGAGTATTTACTATTAACCCTCCTGATCAACCTTGTACTGGAAATCTTACCCAGATCAGATTGATAACAAAAATGGCCCCAATTTTCTCTCTTTCTCTTCTCTGTATGCCTTCTCTTTGCAATTTAACCAACTTTTCAGCCTCTCCCATCAAGAGATGGATTCTATTTGCTTGCCCCTTAGTTCCGGACTGGCCTTGTGATTGATGTGCTTTGATTAAAGGTGGGATTGACAATATATCAGTTCTAAGCCTCAATAGACAACTCTCTCTCTTTCTCTCTGTAACTGGGTTAATAGCAAGTTGGAGGATGAGACCATGCAGAACAGAACTAAGTTAGCCCAGCTGTCTTTGCTGTGGCCCCAGATATGTGAGGAACCCAGCCAAGATCAGCAAAGCTACTTAGCTGACCTGAAGCTAATTACAGATACACAAGTGAACTCTGGCAAAACTGTCTCAAATCAGTAGACATACTCAGCTAACCTATAGACTTATGAGAAACATGTGATGTTTTGGGGTGGTTTGTAATGCAGCAATAGCTAACTGATACAGGCAGCAAGTTAAGAAGAAATAAAGTATAAATACTGAAAAGAAAGAAGAAAAATGTATAGTTATTTGCAGATGATAAAATTGTGTATGTAAAAAATGCAAAATAATCTAGATACATTATTGGAAATAATGAGTAAATTTAGGTGATGCATGGTGGCTCATGCCTGTAATCCTAAAACCACCCTTTATAAAATTAATAAAGGGTCATAAGGTGGGAACTGTGGTAGGTATAAAGAATACATATAACCAGTCATTATTCCCTAGCTTGATTTCCTATAATAAAAATTCTTAGCCCATACATAATATCACCCTTATAAAACCTAAGGCTAGTTTTTGAGATATCATCCAGGAATTGCATTCTGGTGGATTGGCTGACCCACCCACACCAGTGGCTCATAACAAAGAACTAACTCAGCATAAGGAGACCATTTCTACACATTTTTACATTACTTATGACTCCACCCTGAACTCAGCCAATCAGCAGACTTTGAAAAACAGTTTGGCATTATCTACTGAAGTGCAAATATGTATACCTTATGACCCTGCAATTCTAATCCTAGGTATCTAGCCAATAAAAAACCATGCAAATAAACACCAAGTAACGGATACAATAATGTTCACAGCAGCAATTTCCAAAATAGCCCCAAACTGGAAACAATTCATATTTGTCCATTTAAAGTAGAATGGCTAAATCAATTATTTATATTCATATATTAGAATACTACACAATCATGAAATGAATGAACTGCATTTATTTTCCACAATATAGATGAACCTCACAAATATAACACTGGATGAAAAAAACAAGACCTTAAAAATGACTCACTGTATGATTCTATTTAAATAAAGTTCTCCAAACCTAACTATGAAGTAAAACATAATTATAGTGTTTAGGGATACATGTAAGTGTAAAACTATAAAGAAAATCAAGGAAGTGTTTAGCACTGGAGTCAAGAGAATGTTTATTTTGAGGAGGTGCAGGAGGAGTAGTGATTGGGAAGAGACAGGAGGGAGGCTTCCAGGCTGCTGACAATGTTCTATTCCAGAGGTCCCCAAGCTTTTTGGCACCAGGGACTGGTTTCACAGAAGACAATTTTTTCATAGACTGGTGGGGACCATATGGTTTTGAGATATTCAAGTGCATTACATTTATTGTGCAGTCAAACCTCTCTGCTAATGATAATCTGTATTTGCTCCCCAGCGCTAGCCTCACCCCCCAGCTCCACCTCAGATCATCAAGCATTAGATTCTCATAAGGAACACATGACTTAGATCCAGCGCATGCACAGTTTACAGTAGGGTTCTCCCTCCTACCAGAATCTAATGCCATTGCTGACCTGACAGGAGGCAGAGCTCAGTTGGTGATGTCAATGGTGGGGAGTGGCTGTAAATACAGATGAAGCTTCACTAGCTCCCTGCCACTCATATTTTGCTGTGCAGCCCAGTTCCTAACAGGCCACGGTCTCAGTATTGGTCTGTAGCCCAGGTGTGGTTGGGGACCGCAGTTCTACATGGGAGGATGGTTACATCTATGTTCACTTTCTGATAATTTATTGAGCTGAATTTTCTGATTTGTTTATATTTTAAGGAAAAGTTTAAAAAAATGGATGGAGGCCATCTGCAGATGAACCAAAATGGAAGCAGCAGCAGCTCAGAGTATGAACACCAAGGGTCTGCAGTGGAGCTTCTCAAAAATGTCCTATTCCCAGAATTATTTCTGTTTGTCTGGACATTGTCTTTGAGTGTGCTGGTTTTCGCCCTCATAGAGATATTATCGAAAGTTGATAGCACAAAAAAATAAGTGTTTAATTACACAATTTAAAGTTCAAAAGGCAGTCAGCAACAATTTAAACATAAAATTATAATACTAGGAGAAGTGAAGAGAGATGAGAAGGGGGATTGAAATAAATTACATTTTTCAAAAGGGGGAGAGTAAATGTCTAAAATGATAACCCATGAAGGTAGAAGCAAATTATTCAGAGACATGGTGGAAACTCTTAGAAGAATTAGAATTAGAAATAGTAAAAAAAATTGGTTTCTTCTTGGGGGGAATCATGGAGAAGACTGCTGTCCACTATAAACTCTCTGGACTATTTGATTTTTGTTTGATTTTTGCCATGTGCATATTATAATACTTCGATAAATCTAATAAGACATTTACAAGATTCCAATTTGCATCATTCTCATCTGCTTGATTTAAGAATTGCTTTTGGAGTTTGTGGCATTGTGACTAGCCAAGGATAATGTCTATAGTCTGTTTGTCTTATCTATGCTGCACTGATAATGAATACCGTTTCTAAAGTGCTGTTAGGAGTTATAGCTGTATCAATCACTAACTATTGCAGAGCTTCTCAATTATAATTTTATAATTACTTCTGTTTTCTTTTAAACTTTATTTATAGATATATTTTAATTAGAAACAAGGCAGGTTTATAATTACATTGTACATGGGCAAGTAGGAAGTTGTAAACATTTTCAATTCAACAGTTTGAAGAGCAGCTATATTATCAAACTGAAAGTAGACAAATCAATGATAAAAGTGAAACTTCTAAAAGCACTCATATATTAATAATAAAAAGGAAAATCTATATATTCTAGGGATTATTTTTTTAAACAATAAAATAAAATTTGTGTTTCATCTGTTCTACTTGCATATCTTATAAACATTACCTTTTGGGTGAAGATCTAGAAAAAAATCAAGACTCACTTTTAAAAAAGTAAAATTTAGCTGTTGAAAAATTGGTTATACTTCTTTTTCTTGTAAACTTACAATTTTGAGATCATTAAATGCCTCATTTCATTATTTATGTTCATAAAATGCTTATTAATGTCTTTCCTTTCAAAACTCTGTTTTTTTTTTTTTCTATTTCTTCAAGGTTATTTTCCTCAAAATCTAGGTACTCCCTTCATACTATCTACCAAGTATTTTAGAGTAAGAAGAATGTTAATAATGTCTATTCTAGGGAAAGGATATTATAGTTTTTTTGTTTTTATATATCACATAGCAATCTCACATATTGTTTTATATAGAATAGGTACTCAAAAAAGTTCGTCATACTGAATCATATCAAGTATTATAATATATAACATCACTACAATAGGATTAGCTCAACCTTGAGTAAAAAATCAGAGCTTACGGTATAAGAAAAGTGATTAATCATGTATGACATATAACTGAAAGTAATATTCCTGTCAGATATGTCTGTGGAACGAAGCTAAGTTTGTCCGCTTATTCTACATTCACTGGATGTCCACTCTGCCAGGCACTGTGCCAGGCTCTTGCTACACAAAGATGGACAAGATAAGATCCTTCCCCTGCAGCCACTCAAAGCCTAGCAGAGTTGGCCGACCAATGAATGGAGAATTACAAAACTGGGTGACCTGGATTTGGGCAGGTCCAAATTTTCATTTCCTTTCTTTTTATTACTAAAGTGATGGGGGTACTTTGGCAAGGCAGAATAAAGAGGCAAAACCTTTCTTAGCATAATAATTACCAAGAGAGGGGTATTTGCCTTATAGAAAGAATTGGAAAGATTCAGGCCTCTCTGCCTAAACACAGGAAATTATCCTGTCCTAGGGGACTGTGGGTGTACCCCTCAGGATAGGGGTGCTCAGCAATGGAACCCTGACCCTGTGGGAAGCCCAGGTGAGGGGGTTGGGGGGGGGGAGACAGGAAAGGGACTCCTGGGTGCCCACTGGGGCATACTGTGCATAGACTGAAAAGTGACTTGGTAGGAAAAATAAAGAAATATTATCAAAGTTCATGACTGGCCTATGGTGAGATTGTTACCTTCTTAGATGTTGGGGGCATGAATGACTATTATTATCACTGTTGTGATGTTCTCAGTGTCCCAGAGGGACCCATAGGATGAGAAAAGAAGGGATTGCCCAGCTCAGGTGCACACCAGGTGTGGGAGAATGGCAGAGATATGAGAAGATGTTTTGGAATCTGCACATTGCCAGGAAGACTCAGACATGGACTGTTTGCCCAAAGAAGCTGACCCTGTGTCAGTGCTCTCTTATTTAATGGCAGTCAGTCCATTACCACGATCGTTCTTACCCTGGACAGATTTGGGCTCAGGAAGTACTACTCAGTGTTGGGCAAAGGAGTCTCCTTTGGAGGCTGAGGAAAAAAAGAAAGGCTGGGCTGAGTTGTCCTCCTCGGGAATACAGTCCACAGGGGACAGAGATTTGTAATATTCATCTTCTCCATCGAGCACTTTGATTTGGCTGCAATAAAGAAAAGAACAGGATTTTCAAGAGAAAAAGAAACCAAATGCCACATTCATCACTAGGGAGCTAAAAAAAAAAATTGTGTGAGTAGTAGGAACAGGGTTGGGTCCCAACATTGGAGGGGAAGGACAGTTTGGGTAACTCAGGGTCTCCCTGCACAGAAGTACTGGGGTTTGATCCACAAGGGCTTTCAGCTCTGGGTCACACATGGATGATGGGTCCATCTTAGTAGTGTCTGGAAGATGTGGTCATGTTGTACAATAACTTGATTTATATGATTAAATTTTCTGTCTCCATCTGGTTCCCTCTAGATAAGAAAGTTCTGACATTCCCCAATTGTCAAACTAGTACTGGTTATTTACTTCATTGCTATGTTCAACTGAGATGCTAATAAGCAAATGAGCCACAAACTCCTTACTGTCCTGTAACCACTGGGGAAAGTTTTTCTTTGTGCATGTTTTAAGGCCCAGGGATAGGAGAATGTGCAGGAAGTGGCCTATTTGTATTTTGTAGAGAGCTCTTATTTGTGGAAGGAGAGTTTTATACAACTCACTACATGTCTCCAATTATGAAGAAAGTACAATTCCCTGGAATAATTATGAGAAATAACAATTACCCTTAGGTGACAATTTCAGCCTTTTTGGACAGAATAAATTCAAGTTTTATATACTTGCTACTGTGAGAAGTAGTTTCCAATGTCAATAATAGTGGTAATATCAGGATTGCATATTTTTAGAAGCCTCTCTGGAAAGTTTTGCATTTTCTGTAATATCACAAAGGACTCCTTCTGTTTACAGTTGCTTAGAACTAAGAAGACAGATATTTACCCAAGTTTTCTTGGCTTCCTCTTGCTCCCTTGATATTCTAGAGTTCCCTGTGGAGAGGGCCAAGAACACACAGTCAAAGCAAAGCAGCAAGTCGTTAATTTTTAATTCAAAGTGATTTTGTGTTGAATGCAAGCAGATGCTGATAATATCAGAAGTCACAGCATAATTTTTTTGATCAAAGGGCTCAAGTGAGCCTGATGAAGCATGCATCTTGCTCGTCTTTGATAAACCACATCAATTATTCACCGTGAAGGCAGACATCCTGACATGAAAGCAACAGATAAAGAGCCTAAGCACATGTTCAAGACGAGAGCATAAGAGAGTGGGGGTGGGGCTGGAGGGGCTGGAACAGGTATTAATAACAGAATTATTAACTGGAAACAAAGCCAGTGAAACAGCTTTATGGCCACTTTGAACTCACATTTAACTGGTTATAGTACATGGTGTCCTCAGGGCTACTCAACATTTTGGGCTGCTGACATCGTCGGCGAGGTGTTCGCTGCTTCTGTGCAAGACCATTTTCTAAACCTGCAACAAGACAGCAAAACTTTACTGAAAACCATCCCGGGTGTTGGGAAAATTAAGTGAAAAAGCTCTTCACATAAAATGCACTTAGTAGAAACTGTGTCCTGTTTTAATGGGCACGTTAGAAGCTCTGCTAATATTAGGAGATAATCATCCTAAAAAACACACACGTAGGAATTGCTAAGTGTAAACAAGGGCCACTGTCTGTAACTTTGCCTTCATCTTTCTGATCAGAATCAGCAGTCCAGCGTAACAGAAAGCAAACTGGTTTGTTCATACTGGTGCAGTGGAAGTTGGTGGTCAGCCTTTGTGGAGTAGTGTGCCCTTTGTGAGACAACCCAGGACAGCCAAGGCAATCTGGGATTATTTGCACCACATCCTACAGAGAGAGTTCAAAGACATCTGGAGCACACATACTCCTGGGGAGATGAGAAACAAACCTTTTGGTGGGTTATGTTTTGGGGGAAAAATTGCTTGAGCTAGTATTTACTGAAATGCTTTGAACAATACCACTGATCCATGCAGTGGTAAAAGAGAAGGGAAAAGATGATTGCATGATTTCACGGAGCAGTCTTTCCCACTTAGTCCTGATTTCAGAACCCTGGACGGAAGTGCACTGGAGATTAAGAAACCACGTGTCACATGAAGTCATGATTCATTTCCCTTCTAAGCAAATGATTTTTGTGGAATCTGCTATCCTTGTGGCTCTACATCTGAATCAAGATTCAGCAGTTCTAACTTCTTGCCAACACAAGCACACATAGTCACACCTATCATAGGATACTGTCCATGAATGTCATTGTTTAGAGAAGAGAGATCACTTTTCTGGATAGGGTGTTTATCATAAACTATTCATTAAAAAGAATTGAAGATTTTACTTGGAATCATATTTTAACTTCACTAGAGAATACCATTAGAAAAATTCTGGGGTAATTTTTTTAAATAAAGAGTGACTTAGCAAGGACCATTATGAATAGCAAATTATCTATTTCCTAAGTATAAAGTTTTGTATCTTCATTTTTCTTGAATTGGGACATATCTATGTTTAGACAAGACTATTAGAACCATACAAAATTTTAGAAACCATCCATTCTAAATACCCATTTTTTTCAGAAGAGAAACTGAGGCCAATAACTGTGGAATGACTCATCTCAGATCAAGTGGCAGGGTGGGTAGCCAGCCCCAGATCACTTACCTCCGGCTCTAACAGGTTTGTTTTTCTTTTTAAACTACAGCATATTGTCTTAACAAGAAACTTGTTTTTTAAATCATAGGTCTTAGTAGGAGTAAGCTCAATGAAAAAATATTATTAGCATAGCAAAAGGATGTTGCATGCCGAAGGTTCCAGTAGCCATAAGAGGCATCCCTGTCCACATCTTCATCTGATGGTTCCAACACACCTATTCCCTGTTTGCTTTGCAAAATCCATATTCTGTAATATGGTAGAGTGTGAGGTTGTGAAGCCCTTTTGTGTTGTCTCCTTTCTGATTTATAGATTAATGGACAGAAGTCTCCAGAGGTTAGGTTGCTGGTGTGAACACGCACTGGAGGTCTGACATCTACTCTCTCTTAGACTTTTTAATGTTGCAGGAATTCCCATCCATGGCAACTCAAAAAGACTGATCTTAAATAGTTTTGGGGTTCAGCTGGAGTTCAGCCCAGTTCAGCTGGACTTCATATTTATTTGGTGTTTACACTTGATCAGAGGCTTTTATTTATATTTTCTCTACTGGCAATGCTTAATATAAGATGTGGTTCTCAGCTTTTGCTCTTGACGAACTTGCTGTTCCACGGACTGGTATTTTCTTCCTGGTTCTCAAAAGAAATCAAGTTATTGGATAGAATTTTCTCAATTTCAACATTTCTCCCATAAATTTTTAAAAACTGTTGGTGTCTAATCACATGGTATCTATACTATACTAGAATTTTATATAAACTGGTTGTCTGATTTAGCATCAAATTTTAATTTTCATAGTTTTAAGTTTAATATCTCCGTATTTCATGATGTTATGCAGAGTGCTGCAACTTCCAGGTGCTTTGTCATTAGAACAAATCTGGGTATCATTGATATATGACCAATTGTAAGCAACCAAATAAATAATTGGGAAATGAACCATTATTTAGTAAATGCTGTTGGAAAAATCTGATAGC